ATCCCATTTCCTTATTCTAATACCTAAATTAATGTCAAATATGTTTGTGATAGTCCTGGCTAAACTACCACTACTGCTCTTAGTGTATGAATTATATATTTTCTCTGTTGTCTGCACTTTGCTGCATTTGTTTATTGTAAAGATTTTTAGTGTGAAGAGGTTTTGATTGAGAACTTACTGTAGCTATACAGTCCTTGTAAAAATAAGAAAGTTAAATGTAAAAAGAGGTTTGATTTTGTGTCAAATTAGTCAGTACAAACTGCCTCACAACGATCTGGTGTATCCTGAGATGTCCACATTATTGCTACATTTAACATTCTTATAGAGTGAAAACACAAACCCAGTCCAGCAAATAACTAAAAGAATCTCTGCAAACCTCCACCAGGTCAGCTCACAATGTCAGCAGTATTCACTTTAAGGTTGTAAGAAGGGCAGACATTATGTAGTAGTAGATGTTTGACAATATGTACTGATGTGTAACTAACCCGAGCTCATTATATAATATTACATGTCAGTATATTTGTCACTTAATGGGCAGTTCATTGTCTTTCTCTTGACAATATGTTCTTTAAAGATATAACATATATCTTTGTGTCCTTACAGTTTGAACGAAAAGCTGATGTGAAATGTAAAAGTGAGGTCAGAGGTCAATGTGATGTTTTCAATATCCTAATATCATTTCGTACATGTTGCCAATGCAAACTAAGGCAGTAGAAATTCAGGCAAATCAATTTCATGAAAGTTTAAGTTTTTTGACCTATATCAGTCTTTATATGTCCAAGGAATATTATTTTAAATCGCTTTCTGTACATTGGTAATAGACACCACACTCGTAAGAATTGTGGTTTCTAAATCACGCAGCTTTTTTGACCAATAAATCATTAAGTTGACCTTGAACACTTTGGTGGATGTTAGCTGAATTTGAATAGATTGTTAACATGACGCCTGCAAAGCTTAATCAGAATTCATTAGAAACTTTTCAAGCTACTATGTTTACAGACAGAAAGAAAAGCACACAAACATTACCAGAAACACAACCTCCTTGACGGAGATAATTGCAACAGATCTGTTTTGTTTTTTGTTTTTTTAATATTTACATTCTGATGGCCAAATAATCAGTTAAATAATTAATTTTAAAACACATTATTAAAAAAACAGACTTACCATAACGCTGACATTTCTTGACTAAAAAGGCAATGACTGCTGTTACAAAGACCCTCACGACAACAGCGAAGGATGTCAGTGCAGGATCTCAGGCTTTCACCTGAAACTCAACATTTGAAGATTAGGATAATAAAATTTTGCAAAAATGACACAAACAGGTGACGTAACTTCCATCTTGTAAAATTTACATTAAAACAGAAGTGACATTAAAGAACACAGTAATTAGCAAATCTTACATTAAAATTAATTACATTTTAAACAGTTTTCATATACATGTACAGTTTGCAGTGTTTTTTTAGAAAAGCTAGATGGATGTAAACAATAGACAAAAATATGTGTTTTATGTAGTTCAGCTGATCCAGGTGTGTTAAAGCGCTGGTGTACCTGGAATGTACATTTCTGAGTTCCTGGTCTGGGTTATCTCCAGATGGTGGACTCTGCAGGTGACTCTGTGATCGAAAGAAGCACCTTTTAGTTTTATTCACATAGTTTTGTCCTGGAAAATTAAAGCTCTCTGTACACTGATGATAATTTAACAACACAATCCCACCCAACTAAGGTAAATGAACCACATAAAACCAGAACTAAGATCTGAAACTTTAAATATTAAAATAATATGAAACCTTTTGGTAGCAGTCTGTAGAGTCACTCTTCTTGTGACTGTGAGGCACCACTGGGATTCGTCATTTCTCTTTGGGTCTTCAGCACTAATTTCACTTCCTTGATTGTCAAGAAATGTAATCAGAGGCTCAGGGAACCAACACTTAGCCTCACACTGCAGAGTCAGTCCTCCTCCCTCATCTGGAACAACTGAGAGTTTCGGCTCAGAAACAGCACCTGCAAAAGTAAGAATTATTCAGGTTGTTGTCTGTGACCAAAATTTCAGTTCAAATGTTATTAGAAAACTGTGGGAAACTATTAGAAAATCTCATCTGAGCTTTAAGAGAGAGATACATAACTATTAATTATTCACGTTGTGGTCTTTGAACTTTTCAACCAACATTTCAGGTCAAATGTTTATACAAAACAGTACATTATAAAAGCTTTACGAATGATGTGGGTGAAAATGTCCACAAAGAAACAGTTTAGCATTTGTTTACAGACAGCTGGCTTTACTTATAACATTTACTTATTTATTTACTTATAACTTATAAGGACAGAAATCTGTTGCTTCATTTTTCTGTTCTGATTTTTTGTTACATTCTTACTGGTTGTGCGGTTGGAGGACCACTGATGATGGTTCATACTCTCTCATAACTTCTTTAATTATGAACTATTCAATTTGAGCACAAAGGTTACCAAAAGACTGGATTCTTCATCTCAATGGTCTCACATCTGAATCAGTCAGAAAAGCTCATTTTTGATCAGTGACAGCGATAGTGAGGTGAACTGTCTGTATTGTTGCTTTTTGGCCCACACAGGATGATCTGCTCACCTGTGATTAACAGCATAAACAAATGTTAGTAGGGGTTAAACTAGATGTGGCAAATTTTGTCATGTTGGGCTTGTTCAATTCAATTCAATTTTATTTATATAGCGCCAAATCACAACAAAAGTTACCTCAAGGCGCTTCATAGATACAGAGAAAAACCCAACAATCATATGACCCCTATGAGCAAGCAGGCAAGCAAGCAAGGAAACTCCCTTTTAACAGGAAGAAACTTCCAGCAGAACCAGGCTCAGGGAGGGGCGGCCATCCGCTGCAACCGGTTGGGGTGAGAGAAGGAAGACAGGATAAAGACATGCTGTGGAATAGAGACGAGGTTAATAACAGATATGATTCAATGCAGAGAGGTCTGTTAATACATAGTGAGTGAGAAAGGTGACTGGAAAGGAAAAACTCAATGCATCATGGGAATCCCCCGGCAGCCTACATCTATTGCAGCATAACTAAGGGAGGATTCAGGGTCACCTGGTCCAGCCCTAACTATATGCTTTAGCAAAAAGGAAAGTTTTAAGCCTAATCTTGAAAGTAGAGATAGTGTCTGTCTCCTGAATCCAAACTGGAAGCTGGTTCCACAGAAGAGGGGCCTGAAAACTGAAGGCTCTGCCTCCCATTCTACTTTTGAATACTCTAAGAACAACAAGTAGGCCTGCAGTTAACTGCTAAAATTTAGATAATACAGACTCAAAGCAGCAAACATGACAGCACATTAATGTTTTATTAGGTGTGACTCAGTAGGAACAAAAGACGTGTATTTAATATATTTTAATTTAAGTGTTTAGAAAACAAACAAATCTATGCTGGTTCAAAGTGAACGGTTTTTTTAAGCTGCATTATTGTTACATTACGTTATTTACATTATTGTTACCCACTTATTTCTGTGCTTTCAAAATGTATTGAAATGAAAATAACTGCAAATCACTGTACCTCTTATTCTAACCTAAGACAACACAAAATGTCAGATTAATAATCTCTGTGATCCAAAAGTCTGCTGTAAACACTCAGTTCTCTTTGTATGACGTCAAAGAAAAGGGATCTTCCTAACATGGTCAGGCACACAGCTGTGGCTGTGAGGAAAAGCCCCACCAGCCTGCCAATCAGAAGAAAATTGGCTAAAATTGATCAAGAAAAGCTAAAAATGAAGGAATATTTTTGAAGTGGGCATCATGCAAAACTACTGTAGGAGACTCCAAGAATCGAAACATGGAGGCTGAAATGAGTATAGTAGGTCTGTTTTAATGTTTTAACTAAAAAATAAAGGATGAAATTCAGCAAAGGGCCCATATTTAAGAAACCACTCTGCTATGGACACACTGCTGTGGAATTAATATCTTTCAAAAGTTTTAATTGCACTGCTTTGTAAAGTATAATAGTTTAAAAAAATAACTGTAAGTAGTTCAAGTGGTGTAGAAAGTCGTGCAGAAATGCTGTAAAATACTTCCATACACGTACTAAGTAGATTTACTTCTATTTCATTACCATGAACTTGTGCAATTTTGTAAATCCTTTTTGTCCTTGTGAAACAAATTTCCTGAACTCTGTGCACAGCATGCGTCACAAGCTGAGCAGAAAAAAACATTTACAGTTAATTTTAAACTGTTTCAGCAGAAATGAGAGACGATTATGGGAAGACATCTGGAAAAAAACAAAAAACAGTTGCATTCGCTTTCCTTAAATTCTCACATCACCTGACACTTCCTATAAAACCCACAAATTTAACCTTTCACAGTAAATACCACAAAATCCTCAGTAGACTACAGAAAAAAAATGTACCATGTAAAAAATTAGAAGATATAAAAATGATACCTTGTTTCTTTAAAAACTCACGTTAAACCTTTGCCATGGTTTTTAACAGAAACTTTTTTCAGTAACTCACCATCACACTTTGCTACTCTGTGTGCTTTGCATATGATGTCAAAGCTACTTAAATTTTTTATCATTGTTTACTATTAACAAACAGCAATTGTACTTTAATTTAACATCAGCATCAACAACAACATCAACATTTAACATCAGCCTTACAACAGGCTTTCTAAAGGAGTTTTCCATACACAGAGGAAAAGCAGCAGCTTCTTCCAGAATTGCACGATTATCTCTGTAATCCAGTCACATTTAAGCCCAGATGATAGACCACTCCAAAACCTTCATTTGTTTTACTTACTTTTACTCTGCTGCAATGTGAGGAATATTTAGCCCATTTCTTTCTGAGGTTTTGGAAAAAGAAGAAAACTGAACTGGCTACAAATAGTTCATTTTTACCTTGAATCGTTTGATATGAATTCAAATATGACTGCATTAAGTGAATACTGAAGAAAACTTGCTTTAACCAGAATTAATCGACAGCTGTAGATTCACAAGAACAACTTTTATTGTTCTTAACATTACAGTTTCTTTTATAGGTGTGTGTGTTTATATCAGAATGTCACAAACAGTTACATGATACATGACGTGGTTTTCACTGTCACTGCTGTCCGTGTTGGAGTTTTACTTTGGCTGGAGCTCAGCCAGCTTCATACTCACATGCACAGCAATCCAGGTGAAAATAATGCAAATCGTGTGGTTGCAGCTGTTCCAAGAACAGTAACCAGCAAGTTAAAACAGCACTATTACATAATACAATAATTACAAAACTCAAAAAAGATTACAGCAAAGCTCTAATAAATACATATCCCAATATATTACACAAAATGAATGTGGATAAAGTTTGAATTGAGGTGCCTCTCTTATAAAACCGTATTACTACCTACGATGATAATCAAGAAAAGCAGATATTGGGTCAGCACATTAAAATGACAACTTTGACTGTATTTCAAAACAAAAACTATCAAATACGTATTTAAAACGTTGGTATGTTTATAAAATGCAATGCTGTTCTATGAAACTCACTTGGATGGCGTCCTGAAATAAATGACAAATCAGTTTATACTTAGAGGTCAACTCCCACCTAACTGACAGTTTCATTTGTCTGATTATGAAACGTTCCTCATTTAGTTTCAGGACCGATCTCCATCAGCGGCTCTGAGTCTTCAGAGATGATGTTTCTGTGCTGAACACGTATACTGCCTCTAACAGACCGACGAGTGGACGAACGGCGAAGACGCTCATGCGGAATGGACAACACTGGAAGTGAACTGCTGTTATCACTGTTTCTTTTCATCTCGCCGCTGGTGTCCAGATGTGATGAATCTTCTTCTGTGGTCTGTGAGGAGCTGACAGATGTTGTCAAGGCCTCTGGTCTGGGGTTGTCGTTGTTGTGATGAGACTTTGGAGAGGGCGGGATCGTGGGATTTGAGATGCTTGATGAGGATTTGGAGTCATTTGTACAGTCCCTTGTCTGGATGACCGGACTCTGCCTTTCATCATTCGTACCATGATTATCGAGACTCCGTTTTTGTCTTCTCACTGTATGAACACAAAAAAACAAAAATAATTAGCATCTGTTTCATTCCTGACATTTCGTTGTTCTTATTACACACACAAACTGTTATGACAAAGCCAACCTAAATTCAGGCTAAAATCCAGGTGCTTCTTACCATATGTATATTTTTTCCTTTTATTTTTTATTATTTGTTTTGCTTTTCCTTCACTTGTTTGATGATTCATTGAACTGAATTAGCAGTTTTAAAAATAACGCCTAGAAACTGACTTACCAGGGCAGCTGTGTTTCTTCACTAAATGCACAATACATGAACAGATGACAGTGGCTGTTAAGGTGGTTAAAACTGTAATTACAATGGTTACAGTGAAGGATCCCTGGTATCCATCTGTAATGACAAAAAAAGAGATTGAATCTGAAAAAGCATTTCGATAAAAGAGGAGGAACCTGCATAATTTCATAGCTGCTTTATCAGCACATTTTACTCAATAAATGTTGTGTGTCTGAATAGCTAATGGATAGTGAAGCATAGACACAGCTAATCCAGGTGTTTGATTAAAGCTACCTGGCAGGTAAATCTCTGAGTCCCTCGTCTGATGTATCTCCAGCTGGTGGACCCTGCAGGTGACCCTGGGACCAAAACACACACATTTACATCTTATTCAAAATGTGCACCAGTGGGGTTAGCGTGAGAAGGCATCTGTTGAAAGATGCAATTACACACTAATCAATGTATATTTACAAGTACAACTTTTTTTGAAGTAAACAAACTAAATGATCAAGATAAAAATTCTCCAACACATCATTCAGAATATAAACTTGTGGTAAGTTTTAATTTGATATTAAACCTGTTGGTAGCAGTCTGCAGGGACACTCTTCCTTTGACCGTGAAGCATCGTGAAGACTCTTCATCTCTCTTTGGGTCTTCGGCACTGATCTCATTTCCCTGATTGTCAAGAAATGTAATCTTAGGCTCAGGGAACCAGCACTTAGCTTCACATTGCAGAGTCAGTCCACCTCCAACACCAGGAACAACTGAGAGTTTCGGCTCAGAAACGGCACCTGCAAAAATATTAAATATTCACATTGTAGCCTTTGCACTTTCCAACCAGATAGATAGATAGATAGATAGATAGATAGATAGATAGATAGATAGATAGATAGATAGATAGATAGATAGATAGATAGATAGATAGATAGATAGATAGATAGATAGATAGATAGATAGATATCATTAAAGAGATTAAATGCAGCTCTGATCTTTGAGTGGACGTACCTACAAACAGCTCCAGTGTTGTGATTACTTTTTTCTTCTTCCTGATAATCGCACACCGGTATTTTCCACTGTCGCTTATCTGCAGGTTGGATATCACCAATGACAGGTTTCCGTTGTGAAGTTCGTGCCTGATGAGGTTTGTTCGGTACCGAAACACTGGATTCTTCATCTCAAAGGTTTCACACCCATCTCGGTACAGGAAGGCAATATCTGGAAGTGAACTCTCCTTAGTCCATTCCACTGTTGGGACGTCTCCACTTGGGGTGATGTTGCAGGGCAGGAGGACAGTTTCACCTGCAAAGGCCACGATCTTTGGTACGACAATCGCTGAGGGTTTTCCTGTGGATAATAGAAATAACAAAACACGGAGGAACTAATTACTGTGTTTATTCAAAGAACTGAGTCTACTAAAAAAAATGTTTGTGTGTGTGCAGCAGCAACCTCATTATTGCTTTATGCTTTAAAACTTGCTCAGAAATCATTCATACAAATATCAGGTTTCATCACAAGTGTTTATTCTCACGATACAATATAGTCCAACAAATCTGAAGTTTTCTTCTGTTTGTGGAAACTGAGACTCTAAAATACGCACAGACTGTGTTGTAGGTCAGTGATGAGCCTTATGTGTAATTTCATTTATATATTTGTAATAGCTAACCTCTTCACCACAGATTACCCAAGCAGGAGTCTCTGTGGCTGAAAAACGAGGCCAGCGCAGAAATGCAGCCTACTGTCGCTATTGTGGCAAATTAATGCTGGTTACAAAAGTGTGTCAGTCCCCACAGACTGCACATTTACATGCCCAACATTACCATATAAGAAAAGCATGTTTTCAGCCTGTATATAGCGAGAAATTACAACAGCTAAAGGTGCTTTAGAGTGTAAGAAACTGGGAGCTGGTTCCACAGAAGGGCGGTCTGAAAGCTGAAGGCGCTGCCTCCTCATTCTGTTTTAAATATCAGACGAACCACATGTCTGAGAGCGATGTTAATCTGTTAGTGCGATGTGGTGTCTTTAAGATAAGATGTCTGTTTTGTCTGAAATAAGAAGGAGACAGTTGCAGTCTCTGTGGATAGTTTATCCCTGCATAACGTCAAACGAAAAATCTGACAAAATGTCAAAATAATTTTTCCAGCAGGAGACTCACAGTTCCAGGCAGGTAAAACGTCATGCACAAATACACTGAAACATTTCTGTGTACGTGCAAGTAGTAAATTTACTTCAATTTTTGTTTTGTTGCCTTTTTTATAGCATGCGCAACAAAGGAAATCCTGTCATGTGAGGCAGATTCTTTAACTTCCTGCATAACGTGAGTCAAATAAATGCAGAACAAACATTTGTAGGAAACTGCAATAAAACTGAGGGACAGTTATAAAGAAAACACATTAAAAACACATTTTTAGCACAAAACCACACTGTTAATCTCTGCTGCAACCGTGACAGCAAAATCACCGATAAACGTACACAAAAAGTACTCTGAATTTTTTTTTTACTGTACGGGTGTCACACATTGCGCACATTGATGTCACAGTAAATCGCTTTATTTTGGAAACTGTGGTCATTTGCTGTTTGCACACAAACATCAGCAGGAGTGTGATTTCCCAGCTGACTGCAGTCGGTGCTCTACAACAGAAATGATCCAAAAATAACCTTTGGAAGTGAGTGAACTTCAACTTGAAATGAGAATTGAGGAACTGTGTGTCAATTTAATCGAGTCATGTCGGTCAAAATGAACTTCCCCTAAACGTAGAAATGAACTGCAACGTTCAGATTGTGAGAAACATTTGATAATATCTCTCAGCGTTTCAAGTTTAAACACAGAGAAGCTCTTTAAATGACTGACGCACAGATTTTGAGCTTGTTTCCTCAAAATGTAAACAAATAGTCTCCACGTGCCGAACATCCTGCTTTTATCGTCAGAACTTCGATAGAGAATAATACAGAAACTTTAGCAAAGGCATTAAAGGTAGACAGATACGCACTTTTACAGCGACTCTGTGTTAACATTTGTAAAGTGACTCGCTGAAAACACAAATCCATAAATCTCACCTGTACAACAAGATGAGGACAGGACAGCGGCGAGCAGGAGCAGGCGGACAAACCACAGCGACCTGTTCAAACAGGCATCAAAACAAACTTTGTTGACTTCGTCCATGGTTCCTCTTCAGAGAGCAGGTCGACACAGACGAAGTGGAACAGTTTCGACTGTTGTAGTTCAAGTCGCAAAAAGAGAAGAAGGCGGGATCAGAGCCATAATTTCATCATGCTGTCTGATAATTTTACACATTTATAGCGCTTAGTAGATCAACAATCAAAGTACTTCCTCTTATACAGGTAGGTTTCCTTTCATCATCTATTATAAGCTCATTAATAATCATTAATTTGAAAGTAGCTTTGTAATGCTGGATGCTATAGCGCTTTTCTACTATACCTGACCACTCGGAGGCTTTATATAGTACAATATATTGTACTATATGACACATTCATCCATTCACACAGTCATACACGCAACTTTTTTAACACCTAAGTGCTTTCGGTATTTCTGTCTGCTTTCTGTTTAAACGCTGGTTCATCTCTTGATTTTGGAGCCTTATAATACTTGAATGATTTATAGGTCAGTGTTAAGGTCAGAGTTTCTTATAGTTTGCACATCTCTTGTTGACCAGTGTGCTGCGACTACAGGAGATGTCCACATTTTAACTGGCTTATGAACATGATACATTTTTTATTATTCCAGAAAACAATTATTGAGTCAATCTCATTAACATTATACCAGTGCAGCTGTTCTGCTATCAGCAGCTTGAACTTATAGTGTGAGGCTTTAATTGAACTCACGGGCAAAGCCCTGTGCAAACCATGATTCTGACTCTGAGGTAAATCACTACTATAAAACAATACAGTGAAACTGAGTGAGTGAAACTGAAATAAGAAACAGCAAAGTACAGCACACACAACCAAAGCTGTCAACATATTTCAGGCTTATGGAGCAAATTTCATCATTTACAAGGCTCAAAAACAAGTCAAAGGATTTTAACGAAAAAAGGTAGTGTTAGTGGGGAAAGTGGGACATTAAGTTGTGTTTTTATGTGATTTTTTCATCCCAAAGGAGGTAAGGAAGACTCTTTTATGTGTTTCATAAATCAACATAAATTAATTAAGATTCATGTGTTTGATTATATCGGCAGGTAACAGGTAAATTTATATTAAAATTATTTAAACAGCAGGAAAGTATTGTGAAAATATTGCAACTTTGTAATTATAAAGTGTTTATTTTTAGCTCCTCTCAGCAGTCAGGCATGAGCATATAAATATGCTTTATAGATTAAAAACAACTGTCAGCTTCATGGAGGATTCAAACCCAGCACCTGCTAATAAAAGTCAACTTTGAGAAGTGTGACACCACTTTTCTCTCTCACACATTTCTCTGTCAGCTAATTAAACAGATGCAGTAAATGTTGACAAATGATGTCTTAAAATTATTGTATTCATGATTAAAGTATTGTTGTGTGAAACAACTAAAACAAGGTTGGTTGGCACACAGAGAATGAATGAACGGCCAGATTTAAATAATATAAGCAGTTAATTCACAACAGAAAGGGTTAATATTTCAACCAAATAACATTTTGTATCATGTTAGTGTGTAGAGTATGTTTGAATGTGAGTGTGTGTCTTTCTTGCGCTCGGTGTCAGCCTGACATCTACTGACAATATTGGCTTAGTGTCCAAAATGCCCACTGCAGTCCAGCTTTAATGTCCACTGAGGAGTTTTTGATGGGCGGTCATAGAAAGAGAGATTCTATTGTTACCTCATTACTCCTGCCTTTAGAATAATAGGCATTGGTAATAAGGTGCCATAAATTCATTTTCTGACATGATGCTAAGCTCAACTTAAAAAATGTCCCTTTAATTTTTTGAACAGTGTAAAAATAAATGTTTACAAATAAAACAAAAAAGCATCCTTATTTGATAACACTAAATGTGGCAAAACCTCAATTCTTACTGGATCAAAGATGATCAAGTGTTTGATCCTATTAATATAATAAAACTTCAAACTTTTCGATCTTTGTTCCACAGCCAGCAAAGCTTTTAATAATATACTGCTCATAGACAGGAAGCACTCTGATTTTATTTAGTCTCCTTTTCATGCACAAAGACTGCAGAATGATCCATTTGTTTAACAAATGTAATTTTTATACTAGGAAACTGTACAAAACCCCACCAGTCAAATCTCTGTAGTCAAACACAAATGCAAAATAACATCATTTATAAACATCACATTAAAGAGAAAAGTGCGAAACAATAAGAATTTAATTCCCAGCAACAAAGTCCCAAGAGTTAAAAGTAAACACTTAAAGCATCTGTGCTTTCCATCAAAGTGATGGAAAAGCAGTAAGGCTGCAGTAACAGAGGCTCTGAATATAATTCACACTTTCATATTATTGTAGGGTCTTTACAATATAAAGCACCTTGAGTCAATCTGTTGTTGTGATTTGACACTATATAAATGTAAAATTAATTGCTTTGAACTGAGACATTCACTGTGGCTCAAGTAAAAAAATATATATATAGTGGTAGTGGTAAAATGCTATTCATCTTAAATGTTGGCAGTGTTTGATTTTATTTGTTCATAAAGTATGAACAAACTGTATGGAAATGGGGATAAAATACACACAACAGATTTGTGTCTACATGCTGTTAATAAATTTGTAAATGAGGGTCAATCTGACCCATAAACTGCGACTGAATGTCAGCATCTTGCAGGAATAGTGGTGGTCAACAACTTATTGCAAGTTTCTGTTTTATAAATAGACTGCACTAAAACTTTTCTTGTAGGCAGCCTTGTGTAACAGCTATTACAATATGGATCACTCTCAAGCTGCAAAGATTTAGTGTAATCTGCTACGGAGATCTTAGCTGCTCAAAGCTGATGATTCAGCCGGCTTTAGAGGCTCAGTGGGAAGACTTTTGTACCCGTACATTACTTTTCCTTTTTTCGTTTTCAAACCATCCAAACTCCAATCTAACTGACAGCTTTTACTAAGATTCAATCCCTAACCTGAGATGTTTCATTTAGTGTATGAATGTGAGAGTGAATGGATAGTGGTATTGTAAAGCGCTTTGGGTGCCTTGAAAAGCGCTATATAAATCCAATCCATTATTATTATTATTATTATTATTATTATTTATACAATTTTTAAACCTGTCTGATCACATTTGGTTATCCCTCTTTATCCGATCAGCGGATTGTCATCTTCTGATAAATCTGCCAGGACACCGTAGGGGTTGTTGGAAATGCCTGAGAGAGTATTCCTGCGTGGAGACTTTGCAATGACATTACGAGGCCGTTTCTCAGACAGACTCGTCGAACGGGGAAGAGGTTTGTCTTTTGAATCTGGAGGAGGATTGAATGACGCAGCATCATTAGTTATTGAGACAGCAGAACTGCTGCCGTGACTGCTTCTTCTCATCTGTGGGCTGCGTGCCGGATTTTGTCTTAACGCAACAGGTTTTGAGTCCTTAGTCTGGGGTAAGGTGCCAGATTTTGGATGGCTGCCGTTGGCTGAGGATGCTGGCTTAAGGAGCTTGCTGTGGTAGGAAGACTTTGGTGGGGGTGGGATGTCACGCTTTGAGGTGCCTGGTGAGGATCTAGGGTTATTTGTAGACTGGCTGGACTGTTGTGCTGGACTCTGCCTGGATTTGAGGTCTTTCAGCTCTTTAGTTAATCGCTTGATCTCATCTTTCTCCAAGCTCGATTTTTGTCCTCCCACTGGAGGAACACAAAAACATATACAGTTAGCACTTCTTTCACTCCTGACGGTCACTGATCTTACAACAAAGACAAAAGTTAGTGAATGAAATAATACTTCGTAATAGTTAAACATAGAGCCGAAAAAAACTGACTTACCAGACAAGTAACCTCTCTTGACTAAAAAGAGCACAGAGCACAGATTAGTGTGCACACTATGACGGTCGCCACCATAGCAATTGCGACGATTCGAGTGGAGGATTTCATGCATTCATCTGAAATGATTTTTTAAAGGAGATCAAGCATGAACAATGGGATAAATTAAAAATCATAGTTTGTTTTCTAAGCTGCTTTTAACTGAAATGTTACCACTAAGGTTTACATATCAACACATAGTAATATAAATATAAAAATATGACCTAGTCTTTACCAAGTTTGACAATAATTTCATTACAAAATGTGTCTTTATTTATTTAACAAAAATAAGACAAAATGCAAAAGCAGTCTGTGGGAAACCAAAGTATGCTCTTAATGCCTTCATAGGAATTAAGAGGGTAAGTAGCCAACTGCTCCTGATCAAACGCACTTGATTAATTGATTGTGAGCAATAAAAGTTTGCAGGTCTGGCGCATTCAAGTGTGTGCTAACACAATGCAACAACTCTGCCACGAGTAGACATCCCAGCAGATTCACCCCAAGGTCAGACCAATGCGCAAAAAAAAAAAGGACTCCAGCAATGAACTTATAGAGGCAACTGTTGTTGATCATTAATCTGGGATAGATTAAAAGGCCATTTGCAAATAAACTTAAGTCCTAATTCGACAGCGCAAGAGATTATTGACAAATGGGAAAAGTTCAGGACAGCTGCCAGTCTAACAGGAGTAAATGTCCCTGCAAATTCACCCCAAGGTTCAGATGGTATAATTTGGGTCATGCAATGGGATAATGGTCCCCGACACAGCAGCAGATCTACAACAGAATCACTGAAAAAGAAAAATTGTTGCAATGGCCCGGTCTAAGTCCACAAACCCAACTGACTCAAATGCAGTGGTGGGTAGGGATGGGTATCGAAACCCGGTTCTTGTTGAAGACCGGTTCCCACTGTTTCAATTCCTTGGAATTGTTTGCCATTTTTGCAAACATTCCCTTATCGATTCCAGTCGCCCCGAATGATGTCACCACGTTGCGGAGCGTCATTTACCTGGCAGGAAACATGGCGGCTCAAACGCTCAAAAGTTTGGTTGTACTTTACGAGAATGGATGACAACAGGGCAACTTGCAATACTTGCAAAGTAGATATTTCATTTAAGGGAGGAAACACTACAAATATGCAAAAGCATTTGCTCACAAAACACATGATGACCTTAAATGAATGTTGTGTTTTTAATTCCGCTCCGGACTCGTGAATCTCAACCCAGCAGCAGCGGTAACGTTTGCACGTCCTCTCCCGTTAATGCGGCAGGTAAATAATCAACTAACAGTGCATATTATGTTAGCGTGATCTGCCTTATTACAAAACCTGCTATTACTGTGCATTTAGGTGACCATGATGAGACAGACAGAGTCTGGCTCAGATGCTGGCAGTTCTCGCTGCAGTCTACCGTCAGCATCTCCTTTCAGGCCAGGATAGACGAATGTCACGAGCAGTGACTAAGTTTGTGGTCAAAGGCTTGCACCCATTTGCCACAGCAGATGCCCCCAGTTTTCGGTAAGTGAATGTGTTTAATTGTAGGCAGGGACATTACTGGATATTCTTGTGTAATTGCTATAAAATAATTTATGTTATACTTTGTTATTGCTACAGAAGAATGTTTATTTTATTATTTTACATTTACAATTTTTTTTCTCCCTTTGACACCTCATTGAAGAGCCGTAGGCTGTGGATCTCTTAAGATCTCACTGCTGGGTTTGTAAGGCCATGTTAGTCCTAAATTTCTATCTTGTTCAAAAAGAAGATATAAAACAAAGTTCAAAACTAATCGACCTTAGTGTTCTCCTTTTTTAAAAAGAATCGATAAAGAATCGAATCATTAAACAGAATCGAAAATGGAATCGGAATCGTGAAAATCTTATCAATACCCATCCCTAGTGGTGAGACAGGAGCAACTGACACAACATAGTGAAGGAGAGTGGACCAAAACTCCCCCACAACAGTGTCAGACACTGATAAAGTTATACGAAGAGCAATTACACCAAGTTATCACTCCCAAGGTGTTTTCAAAACTACTGATTCATGGGCTGTATGTGGTTTCACGTTGCTTATGCATCTTCTGTTAAATAAATAATCACAAAATGTAACATGTCATGTTGCTGTTTTATCTCTGGTTGTATTTAAATACTTTTAGAAATATTAAAATAAATATGTAGAATGATTGCTTATCTGTAGCCCATATACATTGAACTGCAGGAGTAATGCAATGTTAGAAGATATATTAACAATTTATACATGTTTGTTTCTTAACCTCCAAAATATAGTTAAGATTGATGGTTATTTACTGAGAAGTTACTGTTTTTAATCTAAGTCTAAATCTAATTTAAATAACAATTATTTATTCATGCAGGTGTTTGTTAAAGCTCTGGTGTACCTGGTATGTAAATCGTTGACTCCCTGGTTGTGTTTATCTCACGCTGGTGGACTCTGCAGGTGACCCTGTGATCAAAAGACACATATTTAAGCTTTATTCCTTTGTTTTTCTAGAAAAATAAGAGTGTGTGCACATGAAAAATCTTCTGAAAAACATATCCCACTTAGTTTAACTAAATGACCCAGATTGAGCCACTTTAAGTTTGAGTATTAATACTGTAATGAAACCTTTTGGTAGCAGTCTGTAGAGTCACTCTTCTTTTGACGGTGAAGCATCCCAAAGACTCTTTATCTCTCTTTGGGTCTTCAGCACTAATCTTATTTCCCTTTTCATCAAGAAATCTAATCGTAGGCTCAGGAAACCAACACCTGGCCTCACACTGCAGAGTCAGTCCACCTCCCACATCTGGAACAACCGAGAGTTTCGGCTCAGAAACAGCACCTGCAAAAATATTCATTATTCAGGTTGTTGTCTGTGACCAAAATTTCAGTTCAAATGTTATTAGAAAACTGTGGGAAACTATTAGAAAATCTCATCTGAGCTTTAAGAGAGAGATACATGACTAAAGAATCTGCATTTGAACCCAAAAGAGTATTTGTCACAAATGATGTAGGTGAAAATGCCCTCTGTCTGCAGAAACGGTCCCTGCAGACAGTTACTGCTGCTTAGAATAAAGAATGAAATCTGTAAGATGAACTTCTCAGGGTGTTTAGAGAAACCTAAACCAAAACGTGAGGTGCGTGCAGACTTACAAAGTGAAGAAAGGGACTTTGAGGGGGATTACATGCAGCTCTAAACTTTGAGTGGACGTACCTACAAACAGCTCCAGTATTGCAATGACAGTTTTCGGGTTCCTAACAATCGCACACCGGTATTTTCCACTGTCGCTTGGCTGTACGTTGGATATCACCAATGACAGGTTTCCGTTGTGAAGTTCATCCCTGATGAGGTTTGTTCTGTACCGAAAGACTGGATTCTTCATCTCAAAGGTCTCGAATCCATCTCGGTACAGGAAGGCAAAATCTGGAGGTAAACCCTCCTTACTCCACTCAACTGTTGGTACATCGTGACTCGCAGCGGTGCTGCAGGGCAGGAGGACTGTTTCACCTGCAGAGGCTACGATCTTTGGTACATTGTTTGCTGAGGCCGCTGTTCCTGTGAAGAGAAAAAGGTATAAAACATGGAGTAGGTCATTACTGAGTTTTAAAAAGAGTTCTAACACCTTTTATCTGTGTAGCAACAATATAATATCGTTACTCATCACACAAAGTAAGCACATTTATAGGGCGCAGCTTCTTATTAGTAACCCAGAGAATAGCATATTAGTCATACATAAGAGGCATGTGTATGTATGAGTAATACCTGTGGCTTCAGACGCCACTGAACACTTAGTTTAAGGCAGTTTCTCTGCTTGGCTCTGTTTGATGTTGGAGAAAACTGACTATAATAGATAAAGATGCTGCAAATAAGGGATATTTTCTGTGGAAAGGTGCTAAAAGACTTCAATAACCAAAACATGAAGATAAAACTCAGAATAGTAAACCCTCTTTAACTTTTTTAACTAAAAGAGGACTACAAATCTGCTAGTAGGGTCCCTACAGATAAGAAATCACCAATCTGCTCTAAACGCATATCTGTATTAGAAAGAAAGGATGTGGAAATGACCTTTCAAGGGTTAATTTTTTTTTCTCTGGTTTGTAAATCGTTAAAGCGATGTATAGTCATGCACATGTGCAGTGAGAATACTTCTGAAAGTACATTTACGTCTGTTCGATGTCGACTACTTCTGCACTTTTGTCCTTGTGAAACTGCTGAACTCTCTGGAGTTTCACATGTCTGTCTGCACAGCATGATCACAAGCTGAGCAGAGACAAACATTTACAGCTACCTTCAACTTCAACAGAACTGGGAGACGATTACGGGATGCAACATGAGTAATATGACGGGCCACATTTAATAGGAAGGGGGAGGTGTGTTTACCAAACATGCCACTGATATACTCTAAACATCCTGTGAACTTGACCCTGAAATCTAAAGGATAAAACTCAGGCAGTGTTTCAGCAACAAACATATGTTGAGCTTTGGTAGATCACGACTTTAACTGTTAGTCAACATTCAGAGCAAACACAGTCTAACTGTTCTGCACACGCCCATAAAAACCAGAGCAGTCACATACCTACAGTACAAGACAGTACAATGTTTTTCTATATTGTTTCCATGGTGTCATTGTCCTAAGATTATGCTAATCTATATTCAATCACATATTTAAGTTTATGTTCTTATTATATTTGTCCAATCTCTGTGACTAATAAAGATTTACTATCTTATCTTTTCTTATCTTATCTTATCTTAATAGGTTTCACACTTGGCAGCCAGAACTGCAAAAAAGCGTTTATGATGACCTTAAACAGCTGTCCATGCTGGGAAACCCTCCAGTCTGACGGGATTAAAGCAAGACGCCAAAGGTGAGTGGGCCACAATTTCCCCACGGCAAAGTGAAACTCTCCCTGCCAGTCATCGAAAGCTAAACACTTCCTGTTTTTACCTTTTAATTCTTTTGACAAATGCAAACATCTGCTCACTGAAGTCGATGCTAACACATAATAGACGACACAAGATCACACTCCTGTTAGCAGCATCAACACAGAACCAGCAGGGACACACCTTTAAAGCCTTAAAGCCCGACTTCACAGTCGTAACTTTTAAACGCATTAAGATCGTTATCTCTATTTCTCTGGTATACAGACTTCTCTTTTCGAAACATAGCGCCGTAATCTCGCAATTATGGGATGTTTTATGTTCTTATAAGTTGTGTCTTTTTCTTTTTTCTCACAGACCAATCAGGAGATTATTTTTTTTGTCCTTTTATCCTTTTTGTCCCCTCCTTTTTTTACACTCCTTTTTGTTGCGCTTCTGTAAAGTTACATTGTCACTCCTCAATAATAGACTACGCTTTCCGTGAATCAACTGAAGTACGAAGAAACCTTTAAAACCTGACTATTCAGACAACTTCTGCTTCCTGAACGGACTCGTTTTGACCGAGCAGCTGCTGCACGGAGATCGTCCCCGGCAGCTTTTATAACAAATATATTAATGTCTGGTTTGGAAACTGGAGCGTGGAAAAGCCATCTACACCCGAAACACTCTTGTACGGTCGCCTTTATCCAAATCCTACCTGTGCAAGAAGAGTGTGCGGCGACGAGCAGCAGGAGCACAGAGATACTCATGGATGAAACACAGAAAAAGTGACCCACTGGATCCACGGGGTTTTAAAAAGAAAAAAAAGAGGTCCCAAACTTTCTTAAACTCTTTCGTACGTCCTCTCCAGGGAAGAGCCTGAAGCAAAATGACGAACTACAGTTTGGCAAAACAGGAAACTGGTGTCAAGCCTGCCTCCAATTCGAGACTTGCAGTCAAGCCAGCCTCCAGTTTGTTTTACGTTCCCTGTGTATTCAAAGTATTACGGGAATGGATGTGGAAACCGGATTTCAAAAGAAAAGCCAACTTCGAGTGAATTAACAGATATGTTAAGAACATAATAACATATAATTTAGGCTTCTTTTTTTTTTTTTTTTTTTTTTTTTACAAACTCTAATGTTAGATCTATATGACACAGCCTTGTACCCTAATTGTGCCCTGTCACTATCAAAGCCATCTTATTTTGGATTTCAAAGTAAAAGCCCTGTGAATCTTCATTTTTGAACTACTCTTTCAATGACTTCATAATGCTCTTAAAAGCAAAAGTCGTATTTCCAAATACTATTTGAACTTTATATTAACACTTTCCAACCACAGTCTTTTTCACAGTAATACCATATCAATATCAAGTCAGTCTGATTTTGCCTTTCATAGTAATGGCCCTTTGAAATTGCCGATATTTGACTTAATCTTCTAACGATTCAAAATGCTCTAAAATGAAAAACTCTTGTTTCCACAGGGTAATTCCACTTTAGATCAACAGTATACAGCCCCGCAGTGATACCATATCAGTATCAAGTCATTCTGTTATTATGCCTTCCAAAATAAAATACTTTTCAAATTGTCCATAATTGACCTACCTTTCAGCGATTTCAAAATGCTCTTAAATGAAAAATTCATGTTTCAACAGGATAATTCCACTTTAGATCAACAGTATACAGCCCCACAGTGATACCATATCAATATCAAGTCATTCTGATTTTGACTTCCAAAGTAAAAGCCTTTGCAAATTGTCCACAATTGACCTAACTTTCAGTGATTTCAAAATGCTCTAAAATGGAAAATTCCTGTTTCCACAGGATAATTCCACTCTGTATTTACAGTATACAGCCCCCAGTGATACCATGTCAATATCAAGTCAGTCTGATTTCACTTTCCAAAGTAATGGCCCATTGAAATTGCCCATATATGACTTACTTTTGTAACGATTTTGAAATGCTCTAAATAGAAAAAATCCTGTTTCCACAGGATAATTTCACTTTAGATCAACAGTACACAAACCCACGGTGATACTATATAAATATCAAGTCATTCTGATTATGCTTTCAAAAATAAAAGTCTTTTAAAATTGCCCATAACTGACTTACTCTTGGAACAATTTCAAAATGCTCTAAAATAGAATTTTGCTGTTTCCACAGGCTAATTCCACTTTAGATCAACAGTATCCAACCCCACAGTGATACCATATCAATATCAAATCAGTCTGATTTTGCCTTCCAAAATAAAAGACTTTTCAAATTGCCAAGATACGACCTACTCTTTTAAAGATTTCACAATGCTCTAAAAATGAAAATTGCTCTTTCCACAGCACAGGATAATTTCACTTTAGATCAAAAGTATACAACCTCACAATGTTACCATATCAATTTCAAGTCATTCTGATTTTGCTTTCCAAAATAATGGCCTGTTGAAAATGCCCATAATTCACTTAACTTTCAGTGATTTCAGAATGCTCTAAAATGGAAAATTCCTGTTTCCACAGGATAATTCTACTTTAGATCAACAGTATACAACCTCACGATGTTACCATGTCAATTTCCAGTCATTATGATTTTGCTTTCCAAAATAAAAGCCTTTTCACCTACTCTTTTAACAATTTCAAAATGCTCTTAAATTGAAAGATGCTGTTTCCACAGGATAATTCCACTTTAGATCAACAGTATCCAACCCGACAGTAAAACCATGTAAATTTCATGTTGGTCTGATTTTGCCTTTCAAATTAATGGCCCATCAAATTTGTCCATATGTGATATACTCTTTCAATTATTTCAGAATGTTTTAAAAATGAAAATTGCTGTTTCCACGGGATAATTTCACTCAAGATCGACAGTGCACACT